CTGATTCTTCTTCAATTATAGTCTTTCCATTATCATTCTTTAGAAGCATCATATAATGAGTCTTAGTAGAGTTTTGAACTAATACTAGTAAATCTGGATATGAGTCAATATTATAATCTCCCATTGAGATAAAACTTAATCCCTTTTCTATAACTAATTCAATTCCATTTGGTAGAATATACTCAATAGAATTTCCACCTTCAAATTGATAATCTTCATCAGCAACACACATTTCAGTTTGTGATCTGCATGATGAATCAGATTTTACAAAAGACTTACACACAGTTTTTTGTTTGTTGTATTGGATATGAATTATATTTTTCATTGACCAAAGTAAATCAATATTTCCATCTCTATCAAAGTCATTGACTAAAATATTGTCAATAGTTCCATTTATCTTAATAGTTCTACTTAAAGAATAATTTAATACTTTATAATCACCTGATTCTTTAGTAGTTTGTGTAGTATAAATTTGAATTTCATGTTTTCCTTTATTGTTAACAACAAATAATAAATCAGAACGACAATCTCCATTAATATCTGCCATAGTAATTGGGAATGTAGCATCGTATGTTGGGAATATATACTCATTACTTTCTTTAAAGCTTTTATCTCCTTTATTCATCCAAACACTAGTAGTTTTTTTAGAATTTAAACTAATAAGGTCAATGTAATTATCTCCATTAACATCAAAAGCAGTAGCTTCTCCATACAACGAAATTGGTTGAGCACATACCAATTTATCATTAGTATGATAACAAAGGTATGTTGGATATATATTATTTTTGAACGTTTGGACAATAAACGATGTTTCTCCATTAAACAAAAAATCTCCAGCAATGACATTTATAATAGTTTCGTTAAATGTCAATAATGTTTTAAATTCCTCATATTTAATTGTTTTACCAGAACTATTTTCTTTAACTAATTTAATTGATTTCTTATCTGAACTGAGTACAATAATTTCTATTCTATACAATTATTACTTCTTATTATTTCTCTTTATTTGGACCATATCCCCATTTATTTAAAACAGGTTATTCAAGTCCTTATTAATCGAAATCAACAAACTGTCTATCATCATCATAATCTGCAAATCCAACTATTTCTCCTTCAAATGACCAATCATTTTCTGTGCAAAAATTTGCTTTACAACTACTTTTCTTTTGGAAAGGTGTCCAAACACTTGCCAAACAACAACCTAAAAAGAAAAGAAAGATTATTTTCATTTTATTCTCCAAGATTTTCGATTATGTTTTTTCAAGATTTCTAAATTATTAGATTATGTAAAGACAACCTGATTTAAACATGTAATAGTGAATCTAAAAGACAATTTGTTTAATAACCTAACTACCTGAGCAACACCAACAAAAAAACACCATGAAACTAGATATCAGTTCTTTTTCTTCTAAATAATAACACATTTGGCTCTGGCTTAAAAATGTCATAATGAACCCATCCAACACTTTGTTGTATTCCTAGTTTCCTCCACTCATCCTCAGTCATTAAATGATCTTTTATAAGTTTTGCTGCCATTTCATCAGGAAGAATTACGTGTCTATTAAATAAGTTTAGTCATTGCGTTAGTGTAAAAGAACAAACCTATACTCGTATTGGTCATCCTTATATCTATCAGAGTAGTATGGGTCTTTTGACATGATAAGAATGAATCAAAAAAATAAAAGTATAAAGTAAATGAAAGGTTCTGACGTTGTTCCACGTTTTTTTTTGTTTATCAAATTCTTTTTCTATTTTAATTTTTGTTATCACAATGACTACTATTCAGTTGTATAACCAACTTGTTCCTTGTGGCAATTCTATTGAGTTCAAGGACATTGAAGATGGAGTGTCTCTCTTTATTAAAAACGTTTGGTGAAGTGGTTATTTAAGTGAAAAGAAAAATTAAACATTTAGATTGCATTGTTCCCAACAAAAGAAAGAGACAGTTATGCACAGTTGTACATTTATGAAAATGAAAAGAAGATCATGTTATATCGTTTGGATGAACAAACAAACCCAAATCAAGTTTGCATGATGATGCTTATTGAAAAAGGAAAATCAAAACAATTGTTTATTGAAGGAAAAGGTCAAGTTCAATTAATAGGGTATTTAGTTTAATTGAGTAATAGTTGTCTATTTATGATGTTGCATAGTTCGTAGGATTGATAGAAATAATCATATCAATAGAATTACTAAGCAAATAATCTTCCACTGGGTTATAAACCAAAACACACTCTTCTGATGAATGTCATTTTTGTGAAGTGGAATAAATAAAAAGAGTTTTTTTAGGGTTCTTATAAACAAAATAATAGTTGTTTTACATAACATTTTAAATAAATAATAAAGAAATAATTCTTAAAATAGAGAAAGAAAGGAAGAATTGTTTTATTTAATAGTGGTAGTTAAAAAAAGTTAAAAATAATTTAATACACTAGTCAATGTGATAAGTCAATTAATGAGAATAAATAAGATAAATGACATTAAAAAATACTAATTCATTAAGAATATCTTTAATGTTATTTGTTAGAATTTTTGTAAGTGTATTTTATTTCTTTTTGTAAATTTTATAAGTTAGTTTTACAAACAATTAATATCCTTTTTGTTACCAAGAACCAATTAATATTGATATTTTTTAAATAGCAAGAGTTTATAAATTCTGTAGATGATACTAAACTTATAAAACGTATCTTTATTCATATGATAGAACCTACAAAGATTCGATAATTAAAATATAATAAAAAATGTTTAATATTAAAAAATAGACGTATACCTTTCTTATTTTGATGTATAAATGAGCAAAATAGATTCTATAAAATATGAGAGAGCCTTTATAAGTTTCTTCTAACAAAATTAAATTAATTTGATACTTTACTTTGAAGTTTTTAGAGCTTTATAAGAAATCATTGCTGCATTTACTTGTTTTTTATAATAAGAAAGAATTGTTTTGAGTATTAGTTCTACAAATAAAATGAAATCATTCAATTTTTCATTCAATTTTATTATTTTTAATTAATAAAATTGTTATTATTTTTAATATATTTTGTTCCACTTCATTTTATTCACACTCTTTCTTTTTTATTCTATAAAATTCAAATAGATAACAGTTATAGAAATTCTTATTCTTAAAAAAAACACACCAAATATAATGTTAATTAGAGCTTTCCTAATATAAATCCAAAATGTAATGTATTACCTTCCAAATACATTCCTTCAATAGGTGTTCCCTTCATAATATTATTTTTAAGAAATTGATAGACAACACTGTTGATTCTTCCTAGTTTAGTTTCTAAGTTTTCAATAATTTTTATATGTTCATCTTTTACTCTTACACAATTACATAAACTATCCATTAATTCTTGCTTAATATCTCTCATACAAACAGATGCTTGGACAAATGCTTTTTTATTCATTGTAACTCTTCCAAAACAATCTCCACAACTTTCTAGTGATGCATTAACTAACTTAACAGGTAATAATTCTCCTGTTAATTCAAACATTTGATGAAGATTTTTTCTCATATTCTTTTCACATTTTACTTCAAAGCTTGACACATTAAATTCTGTGTTTGAGTTTCTTCCCATTGAAATAGAATTACTTTCAATGCTTTTCAACCACTCACTATATTTCTCACATTCTTCCTTTAAATTTACACAAACTCTCCTTAATATTGGCTTTTCACATCCATGAATCATCCACCCCCAATCTGTTTCACAATCTGCTGTAATATCCATCCATACTGATGCATTTTGAGAAGACTCATATCTAGAAATTTCGTCTAATAAATCTATTTCATTTTGAGACAAACCTTGCTCATAACAAAAATCTAACAAGTTGAAGATGATATCAGAAATACTACCAGTAATAATAAAAGTAAGTTCTCTTAAATCGTGTTGAACATAAACTTCAACAGTCCTTTTTGTTTTGTTAGTATCTTTTAATACTGTGTTAAACCAATTAAAGAAATAATCTCCACAATCTTTAAACCATTCAAATGAGTTCGTAACTTCATGTAATTTTTCTAACATTTCAATATAAGAATGAGGATAATAATTTGACTCATCTAATTTTATTGAAGGGAACAAAGGAGTTTGAGGACCTCCTCTTTGTCTTGGAGTTAAAGAAAAGTTATGAGTCTTACAATATGAAGGTCTGCCAGTTGACCAAGTAGTTGTTTTTTCCTTTGGTGAATAGACAATATCTGAAGCGACATTTGAAGGAATTTTGATTTGAGATATATTAATCTTATTAACTTTAACAGAAGGAACGAATTTTTTAAAAGATTGAATCATTTTAGTTATTGGCTGAATGATTTGGCTTTGAAGAGTTCTGTCATTTGATACATAAATTAAAAACTCTCTTTGTCCCCTAAAAATTAAAACAAGTCTCTCTTAGGGTATAGCAAATTATCTTAAAAAAAATGATATTTAAACAAACTTGTCATTGAAAGAATTTATTGAAACATAATATTTTTCCTTAGCAACATGAAGGTCTTCTCTTTCTTTAATTATTGTTGAAGGAGAAATTTGAATACAGCCTTTTGCTTCTGTAGCATTTTGAGAGGTGAAATAAAACAATTTATTTGTAGTTAAAACAAACCATCTTCTTTTAATTGTTTTAACTTTTCCACCTTCTTTCCATCCCCAAAACACAGATATTTGTGGGTCAATAGAATTTGCAGTAATATGAAGAGTGTTTTCAGACATGTAATAATATTTAGAGTTCTGATATTTGACCGTGAGAAATCTAAACTTCTTTATTTAGATTTTAAAAAATATACAACATATTCCTTTTTTAGCTTCACTCTTCTTTTATCAAATCTTTTATAAAGAATTTTTCTTTTTTCTTTTTTTTTAATTCAAATGAAATAAGAAATGATGAAGAAATGAAATAATAATCATTGTAAATAAATAACATGAATAGAAAATTATAACCAAAAAAATTACTTTTTGTTTTGAAAAACCATAACCCACTAAATTTAATTATAAAGAATTAGTTATTAATTAATATGATAAAGAACGTTAATAAATCGTTCTATTGAATCAAAAAATAAAAATCGAACTTTAATTTTTTTCTTTTTATTTTTCGAAATCATTACTAATTTTTTTTCGTTCAATTTTTATTTTCTTTATCAAAACATATAATTAATAACTCAGTAAAAAAATATTATTATTAAAATACTCAATATTTTATTTTAAACCATTCAACGTTTTATTCTTTGGATAAAGTAATCTTAGTGATAATATCACTTTGTTTTGTATTTAGTAAGTAATCAGATTCTTGACTATTATTTTTAATAAACAAAAAACCCTTTAAAGAAGTAAAAATTAACTACTAATCTACCTTTCAACTTTATTTTTGTATTATTTATACCATATTAACCTTATTAAAAGCATCTCTCTATATTATACCTTAACACTATGTCTATTATCCCATTTGTTTAATAACTTATTCTTTTTATATCTTCTAATTAAAAATAAAATTGATTTTCTTTTTCCTATTAAATTTCTTTAAATGAATTAAAAGTATAAGAATAAGAACTTATCCGTTAATTATTTTTAAGTTTTTAATACAAAATGTTTGAAAAATAATTATATTTTCTCTACAAATAAGACTTCTTTACTATGAGCTAAAATACAAACACAAAATCTACAGACTTTTAACTAAATTTTTCAAATTATATTGAATTAACATCTAACTAAATAGCAAACAATGGTATGAGTTTATTTAGAACAAA